CGGGGCACAGCAAGTCCCCCATCCAACCCAAGTCGGGGTGAGAATGACATGCCCCAGCTCAGACTCAACCGAAGGGAAATGAGGGAGCTCAGCACACCCTGACTCAGACACCCCCTCCAAGGGGTAACAGGGTGGGAGACGAAGCACCCCCGGAGCGAGTCAGCCCCTTCCGGGGGAGGGGGCAGAGCATCCCCCGGGGCACGGCAGGGCTGAGCATCCCTACTGCGGCACCGCCCGGGGGGCAATGGGGAGCATCCCCAGTAGGGATGGGGGGGGAGGAGGGCAGAACATCCCCGGGGGGTGGCAAAAAGGGCAGAGCCCGCCGAGTCCGGCTCCACCAAGGGGCCTGAGCATCCTCTCGGGGGGCAGCAGAGCATCCCCGGGGGAGGCAATACGAGCAGAGTCCTCCGGGTCTGGCCCCAACCCGGGGGCTGAGCACCCCCCGGGAGGCCCCACGGGGGTCACGGGGGCCGAGCCGGCCCCGGGCGGCCCCGCGCGGGGCCGAGCATCCCCCGTGGGCAGCGCGGCCCCGCCCGCACTCACCGCCCGCCGAAGCCGCTGGAAGCCGCCGCTGCCGCCGCTGCCGCCCCGCCCTGCCCCGCCCACTGCGTCACCGTCCGCGCCTGGCCACGCCCCGGCGGCCACGCCCCGCGGGTCGGGGGTCGGGGGTCGGGGCGGGACCGGGGGTCCAACGGGGGCAGGAGCCTCCCCGGGCCAGGGTCCCCTTGGAAAGGGGAGGAGCCCCCCCCCCCCCCTTGGGCGTTAAGAGACTTTCAGGAGCGACAGAAATCCTCCCAGGGGAGCTCTCTTTGAGGGCAGAAATCCCCTTGGGGTTAGGGATTCCTCCGGGAGGACGCAAAACTCTGAGGTGGGGCAGAAATGCCCCTGTGAGAGTAGGAAACTCTCTTGTGGGGAAAGTTCCTCCCTGGGGGAGGTACAGGAATGCCCCTGGAATGGGCATGGAACTCTCCTGGGGGCAGGAACAGGTTTCTAAGTCCCCATAGGGGCAGGACTCCCCAGGGGTTTTGTCCAACCCCGGAGGGAGGGAGGCAGGAGCAGGCCTGGGCTGTAGGGTGTCCCAAGCTCTGGGTGCCTGTCCCCCCCCCACCATGTGGGGAGCAGCGATGGGGGCAGGCACTGACCCCCAGACTGCCCCAGCCCCCTCCTCAGCCTGCAAGGCTCAGTTCTGAGCCCTGGAGAGATAAGATGTTTTACCCTGGGCTCCCCTCAAGGATCAACATCATAAATGGGATTTGGGGCAGAGGGCATCCATGAACTTCAGCGGGAGCAGTCAAAAGCCCACCCTGCTCCATCATCCTGTCCTGAACAGGGGCACCCGTCACAAACAGTTAATTTAGGGGCCTTGGAAGTACAGCCCCTGGCACAGCCTTTGGGATCCCTCAGCAGTCCTCACCCAGCCTACCAACAAGGAGCTCCTTTCTGTGACCCCACTGGGAACAACTGGGATCAGCAGCATCATCACAGAGCAGCACCTTCCTCTCTCCAGGAAGGACATCAAGCTCATCCTCAGGATTTTTGCTAGAGGACCCTGGGGAGGTCTCACATAAATGTCTCCAACTCACCAGAGGAGGGAGTGTGCTGGATCCGCCCGCTGGCCAGACTCAGGAACAACTGCCTTCACTCCCAAGAACATTTCATCTCTTTTCCACATGCTAGAGTTTTCTAAGCCAAGACAAGCTTCGCTTTTTAAAAATAATACTGTGATACAGTTCTCAAATAACAATGATGAATAGGATAATTCAAGGAAAATGTTTTCAAGTAAAGAGGTGTGTGCAGCCAGGAGCACCAGGATCTAGTTTATTGACTGCCATCCACATTAATTTGTATCCATTGCCTTAAGAACAGATGGATTAGGAGTAGCCTTTCTGTCAGGGAATGGCCTTTCCTTCCTGGGATGATCAGAAGTTTTCTCAATCAAATGTGCTCCTTGCTGATAGAATGCTCTTTGTGTATTTAAGAAATGCTGAGAGAAATAGGGTCAGGCAGAGACGTTACGGACGTATCAGCTCCTGGCCATGCCTGGGAAGCAGAAGGAATGTGGATTTCTTGGATTTGTCCATATTCCATGCTTTATCTTGCGCTGGAGAGGCCCAAGAGCTGACACCACAGCTGTGAAAACATCTCACTGTCGTTCCAATCCTCAGCTGAAGTTTTGTAGGAAAGGGGCACAAGTGGGAATGCAGCACTCTGGAGTGTTCAGAGCCATTGAGGGAGAATGGGGCAGGGCTGTGCTCTTCAGTTGCTGTGTAAACCCCAAAGGAGGGGAGCAGGATTCCACCAGCCTGCCCAGTTTATCCCAGGACTGGGCAGGACTGTCAGCCAGCTCCTGGCAGTGCCCATATCCCCTTGTGAGCAGGGCACAAGCCCTCAAGGGGACACAGGCCCCAAAATCTCCATCAGACCCTGGGCTGCCAATCACAATTTCCCTTTGCAGATCCCCTGGTACCAATTCCTCCCCCATGAGGTGCCACCACTCCTTCAGCAAGCTCCGAGAACTCATTTCAGCCCTTAAAATTGGCAAATGCAGTTTACAGCTGGGGGCCACCCATCACTGCTCCCACCACAGAGGTGTGGGTGGCACTGGGAGGCTGTGATGTGTGCTGTGCATGACCATTGCTCCATGGGTGTCTCCTGGGAGTGTTTCAAATCCTCTGAAATCATCAGCGTAAACTCTGCCAACACTGTCTTTTTAGTGTCAGTGGCATTACTTTATCCTTGGCCAGGGTGTGTGTGGCCAACAGAGTTCCAGCCTCCACAGAGACAGAAATACAAAACCTTTTCTCATGTTTATAGTTTATACATTTTCAGAAGAAAAAAAAAAAAAAGAAAAAGAAAGAAAACCCCAATCACACAAACAAAACCAAACTTCATTTGGTCTAAATTCCATAATTCTCTTATAATTCTCTTTCGTTTAATACTGTTCTATCCTCTACCAGTTACTCATTTCTCACTTCGTATCTTAATTGGTCCATCTTTTTAGTATCTCATACTTTGGAAAGTAGGAAATTTTAACACAAAGATGGAGTCTTTGTTCACATCTTCTTTATCTTCAGGTTTCTGCAAAATGTACTTGTGGTTCATAAATTCAACATTCCAGATGTCCAACCTCACCAATATGTTCTTCTCTCCCAGGCTTTGTTCACTGAAGTATATCCGACTTAGTTTATCAAAGCTTCAATGTCAGTACTTTTCCCAATCTGTGTTCCTATGGAAGTGGCTCATGGCAGCTTTGCTAAATGCTGGAAAAGAGTAATTTAAAAATCACACACTCTTTATAATTTATATGTAGGTTATAATTAAAGTAATTAATATAAAAGTTAATTAAAACCACTAACTAATTTTTTTAATTTAAAAGTTACATTGTTTCTAACAGGGAGGTGCATCAGGGCAATAATCTCAGAACTCCTCTTTATTGGGAGCACTGGGGGGGGGGGGGCTGCAGTCACTGCGGAACCCTTTTTACTGGAGGGTCAATTGCCTCAGAGACCCTCCCGACTGGGAGGATGGGGGGAATCCCCTCAGAGCCTCTCCTTACTGGGATGACTGGGAAGGGCAAATATCTCAGAGCCCCTCATTACTGGCAGGACTGGAGAATGAAATTACCTCAGGGGCTGTCGTTACAGGGAGGACGTGGGGGCAATTCCCTCAGAGTTCCATGTTCCTGGGAGAACTGGGGACCCACTTACTCAGAGGCCCTCGTTACTGGGAGCACTGGGGAGCCAGCATCCTTTAAGGCCTTTGCGACTGGGAGGACGGGCCTGCGGTTCACCTCAGCGACCCTCGGTACTGGGAGGGCTGGTGTGTGCGAGGGATCCCCTCAAGCGCCCCGGTTACAGGCAGGGCGCAGTCACCTCACAGACCCTCGGTACTGGACGGAACTCCCTTAGGATCCCCCATTACTGGGAGGATTGGGGAAGGCTGGAAGCCCCTCAGGGCCCCTGTTAATGAAGAACTGGGAGGGGGCAATCCCTCAAACACCCCCATTATGGGAGGGGCAATTACTTCACAGATCTTCATTACTAGGGGGGGATCTCCTCAGTGTTGTGAACAAAACAGCCTGGCTGGGACACTTGGCTTGGGCTAAGTACTGACATTGAAATGTTAATTAGCTAATTGTTCCTGGGAATCACCTACCTCCCCCCACCCTCCTACCATTCTAGGACTGGGATGCAAAATAATCCAGTGGAATCATGGGAGGGGGTTTTGGGGTTGAAAAACACCCCTAAATGGAAAAGATGGGCACAGTGGAGGGGGCTGGATGGGTGAGCACGTTGGGGAAAAGGGAACCACATCCCTAGTCTGTGTTTGCACCATAACCTACAGAGGACCAGAGTGGACTGGGCTGTGGGAAGCAGGAGCAAAGCACACACACTTCCTGGTGTTACCAGGAGGGAAGGAGAGGGACAGCTGCTGCTGGACTTCGGCAGCAGGCTCTGCACATCCCCTCACCCTGCGGCCACCAGTGTGCCGGGAGGAAAGGAGAGAGGACGGTCTGCTGGGACTTCAGATACGGACTGCACACCTCTGCACCTCCTTCAGGTACAGACTGCACACCCCTGCACCTCCTTCAGATACAGACTGCACACCTCTTCTCCTCCAGCTACCAGCGTGCCACGGAGACTCCAGGGACAGACTCTGCACGCCTGCTCACCCTTCGGCTACCGGAGAAGCTACAACAGCGGGGGCGAGCTCCTTGTTGAGCCCCCAGCCGAGCTGACTTTTTAATAAAGAGCTGACTATTAATAAAGGCATAGACCCTGTTCATTTCACTCAGGGATCCCCTTTACTGGGAGGGAACTCCTGAAGTGCTGTTGTTACTGAAAAGACAGTGGGGGGAAGGAGAAACCCTCAGGGCCCCTCAGCACTGAGGGCGGGGGAAGCGCCGCAGGGCGCCCGTCGCTGCGGGGCGCTGCCCTCAGCGCTGGGGTGACGTCACTGGTGACGCCGCGGCGCGCGCTGTCGCGGGGCTGACGCGCGGGGCGGGCGCTGTGGCGCTGTGGCGCTGTCCCCGTGTCCCCGCGGGGCCCGGCCGGACATGGCCCCGCGCGGCCGCCCCGCCGCCGCCGCCATGCCCCGCAGGGCCGCCCGCAAACGCCTCAAGTTCCGCGCCGACGACGTGTGCTCCGAGCGGGGTGAGAGCTGGGCCGCGCCTGGGCCGCGACTGAGAGAGGCCGGGGCTGATGAGGGGAGCGGGGGCTGTGAGGGAAGGCGGGCCTGAGGTGAGCCGGGCCGAGCTTGGCGCTGCCGGTGCACCCCGGAGAGGAGGCCTGGGCCCGCATTAGGGCCTGGAGGAGGTAGTTAAAGGGCCTGGGCTTGGCCTGGGTGAGGGGATGAAGGAAAGAGCACAGTCCAGTCTCACCTAAGAGTGAGCTCGGCCCTCTCGGGTCTATGCAGGCAAAGAGCCGCGTCCAGGAGGGATCCCCCAGCTGGGTTCTGGACGGATGTGTGGAAATTAGCCCTCTTTGCCTGTGGAGGAGGAGCCTGAGACCAGAGGATCAGCCAGGCTCGAGTTGGGCTGTGTGAGGGAGAATGGGATTATCACTGGCTGAGATATTGGGAGAAGGAGAATTGCGCTGGGCTGGGCGGGGGTGTGGATCCCTGAGCCTGATAGACCGATGGTCTGGAGTAGAGACTTGCTGGGGACTCCTGGCCTGCATGTCTCTCCTGAGGCTCATTTTCCTGCTTGTACATCTCCCCTTTGAGCCTCTGCTCCTCTGGGGGCTGTTCACTTTAGTCATCGTGACTCTTAGCCCTTTTGTCCCATCCCCATAATCCCTAATCCTTCTGACCCGTTTCCCCCTCTCTGCAGTGACGGTGGCAGATTATGCCAACTCAGACCCAGCTGTCGTGAAGTCTGGGCGGGTGAAGAAAGCTGTGGCCAATGCAGTGCAGCAGGAAGGTGAGTCTGCCCTGGGGCCCCAGCCTTCTCTGTGCTGCCTTCAGGTTTTTCTCTGCATGACATAGGAAACTCTTCCTTAAACTGAGAAAATGTGTGTCCTTTAGTGCTGCAAATGAGCCCGTGATACTCTGTAGACAATCAGGTGTTAGGGGCTTAGGAGGTTTCGCAGAAAGCCTGCTGCAAGAGTCTTTGTTAGTGCCTGAAATGGAAAGGCTTTGGTGTCATTTCCTGCTTGAGGTAGAAAATAATGTTGTAAAAGTCTTTATTACTTTATTACCACATATAAAATTGTAGATAACTTTATTAGCAGGTAAAGTTCTTTGCTGGGGGAGTAAGGTTGTGACAGGTTTGTCAAACATATGTTGTGAGGAGGTCTTGGGAGGGTGTTGCTGTATTTTTTGGTGAACTTTGTAAAGAAGGAGTTTTCCTGGAAAGGTAGTGCAATATTTTATTATCTACTTCCTCCTTGTCTGGGAGCTTTCTGAGCTAACATGCTCCACTTGCTTGAGAAATGGTGATGTTTAGGCCTTTTAAATGTAGCTGATCACATGTCTTGGAGGTAGATGTTGTGTTGACAGTGATAACTGAACTTTTCATAAAGGGAAACTCTTGGTTTGCTGCTGAAATCTTGCACTGTTGGAGGCAGTATGCACTTGGCATGAGTGCCTGTTAGAGGCAGTGGTGCTCCTGTACATCCTCTTCCGTTGCTGCTTCTAAAGCTTTTAAGATCAGGGCACCTCCCTCTTTTGTGGCCTTGTTTGTTTGGGGCCCTCCCAGTCCCACTCCTGTTCACCTATCTGTGTTCTGTCTCCTTGAGGCAAAGTCCAGCACTTCAGCATCATGCTGGCAAACTGCTGGTGTTCTGTTCTCCCTGCCCCCAGCATCATCTGCTTCATCCAGTTTATCCCCTTTCCTGCTGTTTCTGGCTCACCTCCACCTCATCCTGGTGCCTCCAGGACACAGCGGTTTCCGTGCCCACCCCTATTGCAGGTCTTTGAAGTGCAGTCCCGGGGGTTCCCCCTCCGGATTCAGGGATTCTTGGAATCTCTCCTCCCCAGCCCCAGGGCTGTGCTCCAAACTTATCTGGTGCAGCCATGACCATGCTGCAGCCTTATCAGGCCCAGCCTTATCTGTGCGTCTGGTGGGGGGGTGCCACGCGGGGGTGCCATGCATGGGGACAGGAGCCCCAGCCTTTGGCCTTGCTGCCCTCCAGAAACTTGGCTCAGAGTGAATTCCGTGCTGGGTGTGACCGCAGTGGCCGGGGCACTTCCCACAGCGAGCATCCAATGGGAGCTTCACCTTCACTGGCAGGGGAGCCATGCCTGGGAGGAATTTTTCTGGGCTTCTCTCTTCCCCATTCTAATGCCCAGGATGGGAGGATTGTGACAGTAAGGTGAAGAGAGGGTGCCTCTGCAGGATTGCAGTGCAGCCATTCACTGCTCAGTGGACTCGTGGTGTTGACTCAGAGGCTGGCTTTTCCTTAGGAGAGAGGGGTGTACCCCACTCAGAGTTCCTGTCAGTTTTGTCTTCTCTTGCTTGGCTGTATATGATATCCTAACTCACTGTCATTTGTGTTGCCACCTATTTCACTCTCATTTTACCTATAAAAGGTCATGTGGAGAGAACAGTGGTGGAAACAACGGCCATGAATACATCCAGGTGCCAGGAGAACATCCAGTTTACAGAACAAACTGTGCAAAGTGAGGTAGAACTGGTTTAGCAAAGCACTGAGGTGTGTCTAGTGAATGAGTACAATCAAGCCCTGTCTGAAGACTGTCTTTCCATCTGCTGTCTTTTCATTATAAAATGCTGTTTGGTGGTTAGAAATGAGAATATTTTTCACTTGAGTTTATGTTCAGTTTCTTCTTGTTGTTGTTTGTTTTTCTGCTAGTCTGTCTCTGTGATTCAAACAGCACATTTTGCTCTTGAGTGTCTCTGGTGACTGCAGTGACTGGAACTGGGATGTATAAAACCTTCCTGGCCTTCAGTATGTGCTGAGTAGAAAATGTTTTATTCTTCACCTAGTTTGTTGGTTTGAAATTCAGCTCTTGAATGAATTTCACAGCCTATTTGCAAAGCCTTTGTGCTGCTGTGGTAGTGCCTCACACAGCTGTAATGTAGGACCACACCTTTCTTTTTCCAAGACTATCATTACTGACTTTCATGTTGAGCCCTCAGTTTACTGATCGAGTTTTAAAAATAATATTTCTAAAAAGGGATATGTCTAAACATGTCCCCAGATACAGGAAACAAGCAGCCCTAAGCTCCAGCTGACTCAACTGGCTGTTTTCCTCACTAGGCCAGAGCCTTCCCCTTCACTAAATTCCAGGGTAAGTGGAAGTCCTGGGCTCTTGACACTGCGTTCCAGCCCCAGTAGATTGTGTCATCAGCCACAGGACAGTTGTCCTGCTGCAAAGGGAGTTAGTCTTCTCCATGCTCATAAAACAGTTCCAGAACAGTTGCTGGCTCAAGGCTGAACATGGCCATGCAAGGCAACTTGGCTGTTTAGGGAAACTGGTTACCCCTTAGAAAGAGCCCTTTATTTTATTTGGAGTTGTACGTAGCTTCAGCTAAACCAGTAGGATCTGCATAATGTGCTGGTGTTCATACTCTTTGTTCATTATTTAAAACAAGCAGCTGAATAATTATGTTTCCCATTCATTCACCCCTGCTAATCTTTCTCTGACAAGGTAATCCTTGAGCTCAGGATTTACTTGCTTGTGTCACTCACCAGAAAGCTTTAAGGCAGTGGTTCCACTGAAACATCTTCTGAACTTGGATCACCTTTTCCACTCTGCTGTTGTACTCACTGTTGTTTTTCATTCCAGTAAAATCCCTGTGTGGTTTGGAAGCATCCTGTGTCCCTACTGAGGAAGTTCTCTCCGTGTCAGGAGAGTCCTGTGATAGCAGTGATGAGATGGATATCAAGGAGAGCATCAACGGGAGGGCTGCCTCGAGGAAAAAGAAGAGCAAAAGGCACAAAGGTGTGGTCACCTGTTGTCTTGGGGCTCTGTGGGCTCCTGCTGCAGGTCCAGTGTAGGGGATGCTTATGCTGGGGATTTACAGGATTGTCATGGGATTCCTGGAGCATTCTGGAATTTGAGTGTGCACAAAGAAATGCCAAGGGTTTAGTCAACTTGTAAATCTGCTGGCACTTGGTCACAGGAGCTGTATTTGCACAGAGGCAGAGCTTGAGGCATGAAATCAGAGCCTGAGAGCTCCTTGCTTTTGACAAATATCCCTCAGCCTTGGAAAACAAACACTGCTATTCCAAAGTTGTGCAACTTTGCCACTGGCTGTGTTGCTTCACTGAACATGGGGTGGTGGCAGCAGGTTTGGTTTGGGGTTGAAGTGCTGCTGTCCATGATGCAGTTGTTGGCAAAACACAAGTTCTGTTTCGACGGTATTTCCAAGGCTGTGATATGTTACAAATGGGTTTAAAGGGCTCTTTTTTCAGCAAGGAAGTGCATTTGATCCTAGTGGCACCTTAATACATTCATTCAGGAAAGATGTATCCTTCAGCACTTGCACTATGTGCAGCTCCATAGAAATCCATTGACAATGCAGTGTAAGTATCAAACAGTTCTGCTGGACTGGGGAACCCTGCAGAAGTTTCTAGTAACAGGTTGCTTTCAGGTTGAGAAGCAAATTTTAACCAGTTTTCTTGTGCTTAATAGCAATTTATGTAGCACATGATCATCCATACACCACAGACTGAGGGTGGACAGCACTCCTCTGGGAAGGAAGTTAAAAGAGGTTAACCTCTTTTATTAAGGCATCCTTCGGAATCCTGGCAAAATAATCTCTGAGCAGCTGGAGCTATGAGTCTGGGAATACAATATTCTGTTCTACCACAGCCTTGTCTTGTTTCTGCTACACGTTTAGGGAGGAAAAAATGGTGATAGAACAGTGATGCTTCCAGCTGCCCTCTGAGTTCAGCAGTGTGGAGTTTGATGGCTTCTTAAGACAGAGCTGACTCAGCAAAATGAGTGTAGCAGCCCATTGTGGGTGTGCCTGCCATAAATCTGAAGTGCTGTGGGGAAGGGATCACATCCAGAGCTTTCTTTAGCAAGTATCACATGAGGATAAAGAACTGCCCTTTGTATTAACCTGCTGTCTCAGGGTTAGATCTGGCACCCTCAAGTTCCCAAACACCTCTTGTATTCCAGAGACCTCACCTCTCAGAGCAGCTTTTCCTGTTAGCACTGTGCATAAGTTGTGTTTTCCTTCTCTCTTGTTAACCTTTCTGATGCTCAGTACTGTTCACCTACTTATATTCTTTAAAAGTATTTTTTTACTCCTAAAGTTGGAGCAATGTCTGTGGAAAAAATTGTGGTGTAAACTACAAAACACTTCAGGAATTAAAGGAGTGTGTGCCCACAGTTCTAGCTGAGCAGTTCTGACATGTCTGAGAGGAAGAACAGGCCATTCTCTCCATCTGAATTGCATTAAAAGTTCCCATCCAAGAAGCTTTAATGAAGTTAAGAGATTTAAGAAAAGAAGCTGATTGCCAGATGCAGAACAGAATTTCCCTCCCTGACAGAGCTCCTACCAAAATATTATGACCACTGGAACAAAGACCTGACAAGCCTGGCACTACCAGTGATCAAGGTCTTCATGTGTGAAGCTATTTTAGTGACCTGTTGAATGTGCCCTTTCCATTAAAAATGGGCCCTCCCTTATATAAAGTTGCCTCTTTATTTGACATGCAATTTTTGTTTCTCAGCTTGAGTGTGGTATTTCAGTTGTGCCAGGGTCAGGTATCAAAACAGGGTCCAGAAAGGCTTTGTGGTTTCCATCCTTGCACACAGCACTCACTTGGACAAAATGCTGAAACAAAATGACCTAATTCTGTATGCTTTGAGCTGAGCTGCTGGATTAGAAATCTCCAGAGAACCCTTTCAGCCTGAATTCCTTTATGAATCTGCCACTTTGCCCACTTGTGCAGCAGGGGTAACAGTGGCAGGTGTCCGGCACAGGGGAGGTGTCATGGCTGTGTGGACGCTGATGGGAGCAGGGAGCAGGGCCGCTGAGGCTGTGCAGACTGGGGCTTTCCCTGGGTGTGTAAGTCAGCAGCCCAGCTGTGCTGCCAGGTGTGCAGCACGCGTCTCTGGATGGGAGCTGGTGCAGATTCCTGCACTAATACAGCCTTGTTGCCTTTAGAAGATGCCGAAGGGGGAGGAGGAGAGGAATATCCCATCGACATCTGGCTGCTCCTGGCTTCCTACATCCGCCCTGAGGACATTGTCCGGTTCTCTCTGATCTGCAAGAAAGCCTGGACTGTCACTTGCACTGCTGCCTTTTGGACCAGACTCTACAGAAGGTGAGACTCTAGAGGGTTTTAAAACTGGTTGTGGGAGGTTTCAGTAGAGAGCAGTTCTCTGCAGACCTGGAAATAAGGGAATAATTCCCTGTAGGCCTGGGCCCTGTGTTTGCACATTGACATGGTGATGTGGTCCTCTCTTATGTGATATTCTTATCCCTCAAAGTCAAGCTAGGAGAGCTGGGGTTGTTCAGCCTAGAGAAGGCTTGGGGAAAACATCCCTGTGGCCTTAGAGTACTTTAAGGGGGCTTATAAAAGGGAGGCAGAGGGACTTTTTATAAGGGTGGGTGATGACAGGACAAGGAGTAATGGTTTTAAACAGGGCAGAGGGCAGGGTTAGATTGGATGTTAGGAAAAAATTCTTATTGTGAAGGCAGTGAGGTCCTGGCACAGACTGTCCAGAGAAAATGTGGCTGTCCCATCCCCAGTAGTGTCCGAGGCCAGGTTGGAGCACCCTGGGATAGTCAAAGTTGTCCCTGCCCATGGCAGGGGATGGAATGAGCTGAGCTTTAAGGTCCCTTCCAACCCAAACCATTATAAGAGTCTTAATATCATATCTTCTTTGGGTCTGGAAATGGATGTTTGTGGTGTATTCCTTCCCTGTATGTTCCCTGTAAAATCTCAGAGCTTTGTCTCCTTTTCTGCTTGCCATGGCCCAACACTTGTATATATCAACCTATCCAAGTATGTATGGCATGGTCAGTGCTGAAAGGCAAACGTCATTGATGGACAACTTGCCCTGCTCTAATCACAGCCATCTCCCTCTAATTTGGGAATTTTGGAGCTGTACAGTGACAGGAGTAAGTGAAAGCAAGGAGGGCAAAGGGGTGGTCAACACTTGATATAAATCCTTCTGTCCCAGTACATGCCAATGGGATATTCCTTCAGGAGAGAACATTTTCTTTACAGCTCTACCTGTTGCCCAGGAGGCACAAGCAGCAGGGGCACAGAGTAGAGAGCAGCTGTGGTCATCCTCACTCCTGGTTTTTAGTGTGACATTCCCTAGCAAAGGCTCCTTTGGAATGTGATCAAGGAATAGCCCTTGAGTGCAGGTGTGCAGGCTGCTCAGGCAGTGCTGAGAGCTGCAATCAGCTCAGCTGGGAGTCCCCGGGAACCTGCAGCAACCTGCAGCCCTTTGTGCAGCCTGCAGCTACATCCCTGGCTGGTCTCTGGGCAAACTAGAAATTATTGGGAATTGTAGGATGTGTGGGCTGGAAGCCTGCATGGTGCAGGTCAGGGCTTTGAGGCTGCCATGTGGTGTCCTGTCAGCAGCACAGCCCCCTCACAGCCCTCAGGGCTGGCCAGAGTCCTGTGGTCAGTCAGATGTGGAGTTTTCCCCTGATATGGCTCTGTCCCTGCCGTGCCCTGGCTGTGCCCTGGAGCTGACACCATTCCCGTGGGTTCTGCAGGCACTACAGCCTGGATGTGTACCTGCCCCTGCGCCTGCGCCCCGAGTCCATGGAGAAGCTGCACTGCCTGCGCGCCTGCGTCATCCGCTCCCTGTTCCACATGTACGAGCCCTTCGCCGCCCGCCTCTCCAGGAACCCCGCCATCCCAGACAGTACTCCCAGCACTTTAAAGAATTCCAGAGTAAGTGGCATCACTCACAAACTGGGATTTGTCTGAGGTGTTGCTGTTTCTGTTTGGTTTGTTTTTTTCTTTCTAGAAGAAAACCAGATGATGTGGAGATGGTCACCAGTGAAGCTGAGATATAGGATGGTCACTAACTGGGTATTCTCCGTGGGATTTGTAAAAGTGGGCTGGTTACTTGTGCCTGTAGAGCTACTCTTTGGAGTAACTTCTGCCTAAGTCCTGCACTACACCATCTTAACCAGCAAAAGGGCCCTGGTATCACTGGATATCAGAACTGCCAGGGATGTTTGCAGCTTCCCTTCCTCTGATTAAAGCTCCATAGGATCAGCTTTTATATGTTTTGCTTTATTCTGACACTGTCTGCAGAGTACATCTCTCTGTAACAGGCCTCTGGAGAGCTCAGGAGTGACACTGATGCCAGGAGTTGTGTCACTCTGCTTTCCTGCAGGTCACCCATGGTCTGGTGTGTGAGTGAGGCAGGGTGGTGATGCTGGGGCGAGCATGGCAAATGTGCAGAGCCAGTGTCTGCTTTGGGACTGGGCTGCTCTGCAGTGTGGGCAGGTAATTCCCTGTGCTACCCCAGCTTGGAGCACTTGCATACCATTATTACTGTTGACCATTAACTCTGAAATGCCTTTGTGTCCCTTGTTGGGTTTTAACTTGCAACTGGCTGATACTCTGTGAGCAGCTTAAGCAACAATGTGAATTCTCCACCCTCCAAATCTTAGGTCAAAAACCTGTTGAATTAGGTTTTTGGAGCCAAACTGAAGTGGGTTTCATTGAGGAGTTGTTCTTTCTTTTCTATGCAAAATAGAGGAGCCTCATCTATCTGTACATGACATCCCACCTTTCTTCCTTCCTCTCCTTGTCACAGGCTGTCATAGGCTCGGGGAGCATCCAGCAGCACATAGGAAGTGGTGCTGCAGCACAGGGAAAAGCACATGGCTCTGTGTGTGGTCTTATCTCTGCATCCAGAGCTCCTCATTTTCTTCCTGAGTCCCCAGGCTGGGGATCTTCATTCTTACCAACTGAAAAAGCAAGACACTCTGAGGAAATTCCAGTAGTCCTGAGCCCAAGCTCCCACTGCTCGTGGCTGTAGGAGCTGGAACCCCAAGGTGGTACTGGCAGGGTTGACATTTTGGGAGGATTCCTGGTGACATCATAACGGCTTTGGTGCCCACTGCTAGTGCTTCTCCTGTACTGACAGTTGGAGGAGGATCCTTTAAGTGCAGTCTTTCATTGTTTAGCTTTTAAAAAAGGAAATTAAATGGGGACGAGACTCTGTCAGGGCAGTAGAGGTTTGACCTAACACCTTGCAGCATGAAAGAGCCACCCTGAGTCTGGTCTTGCTGTACTACTGCACTGCAGGACTCTGAGCTCCACTTGTGTGTCTGTACACACAAATCCCTCAGCACAGAAGGTTTGGAGGAGGACCTGGCACTGCCTCTCCACGTCCTGGCTTTCCTGGGCTTTGGTTGTACCTTTGTGGGTTGCTGACACTAACGGCAATGCCTACCTAAAGTGCATGTGGCTAGAGGAGAGCCCAGCCCCGGGTGTGATCCAACCTAGCTTTTCCTCTTTAATTTCCTTTTTTCTTTCCCTAGCCTAGCTTGTGTGGGACACTGGAGCCGTTATGGTGTCAGCAGAGGTGTTTGCCCTTTAAAGACACCCCATTATTTTGGGCGGAGCGGCAGCCGCACGGCGCGTCTGAAGGGCAGGACGGCTGACCCGAGGACGACATCCTCTGCCCCTTAGGAGGTACTGACCTTTTGTGCTTCACTACTTGCCATGACCAAACAGGTTGCTAGACCAGGCTGCCGCTGCAGGTGAACTACAAATGCCACTGACGGTGGAGTTGAACTCAGCAGCATCTGCTGCTCATCTGAGTTAAAAGATATGGAGAATGTTTTTATTGGAAAAAAACCTGAGGGCTGCTTCCTCCCAGGTGGAGGTTATTCCATGCATGTTTCTGAGCTTTACTCCACAGAGCTTTGTTGTTCACCTCATTGCGGAGAAGACTGTGGAGAAAAAAGGTCTTTTAATGACTTGTTTATGGATGTGACTCAGAGTTGAAGCAGTGGGTCTTGTATCCCCTTTGGTCTCATCAGAGCCCCTGTGGTGGAGGCTGGCTCTGGCTTCATTTTATTAGGATCACTCCATCCTGGAATGAAGTTAAATGTGTACTTTGCCCTGCAACCCAGTCAGGCCCTTCTCTCTTCAGGAGAGACTGTGTATGGATCACAGGGAGTTCTCTTTACCCACATTATTCCTCCTTTTCCTGCTGACACTGATGAAAGATAAGACCAGCTGTGGTGGGCTGGCATCTGTTGGTGTGGAAAAGCTTTGTGGGATGGCTGGACTGACTTGCCAGGTTCTTTCCTTGGCTGTTGAAGGCTGGTTGCTTGTGCTGTGACTGGTAGGCAGGGATTTCCCTCCTACAGGAGTTTTGCTGAGCCTCCTGCTCCAGAACGAGCTCCTGGGCTGGAGCCTGTGGCCCATACAGTGATAACCATTGAAATTGGAGCAGTCGTGATGTGGAGAGTCATGCAGAGCAGTCTGCGTGACAGGGCAGTGCTGGTGACTTCTGAGGCTATTTGAGGCTGGTTTCTCATTTTCCTTTGAAAAGAGACAGAAGGTTGGCCAGACTGTGCTGTCCTGGCAGTGGTTTTGGACTCGAAATGATGACAGTGTTGGTAATGGCAAGGTCACGGTCTCCATTTGACTCCACAATGGCTTAGGAATTTCTTCATCCATCACCTCATAGCTCCTTGTAGTTGTCTTTGTATTTCCCTCTGGATCCTTTCCTTCTCGATCCTTATTCTGTTCTCTTGTTCCTTGCTTTAACCTTGTTTGGAACCCTGTTTAATAGGAGTTGCTGGTTGCTGGAGGGAATGGGTGAATCTGCACCACTCATACCTGCCCTAGGAAAGGGACAAATAGCACATCAGGATTTTGCTGTTTGGCACATCAGTGACTACGTGTTGCATGAGGAGTTGGCCAGTTTGAAACTGGGATATCTACACTGCTGAGATGGTTCTTTGAACATAATTAATTTGAATAAGTGGCTCCTAATTGCTCCTATGTAATTGTGTTTTCAATTGGAAGCCTTTATGATCTGTTAAAACTTATTTAAAGTGGTGATTCTAAGGGTTTCATAATTTTGTGTTTCTTTTTTTCCACTTCAGTGTCTGCTTTTCTGGTGCAAAAAGATTGTAGGGAACAGACAAGAAGCAATGTGGGAATTCAACTTCAAGTTCAAAAAGCAGGTAGGAAAGAACGAGATCAGCTGTGACTTTTGTTTGAAGCAGAAATTATTTTTCTGGGGATAGAAGAGAAGTGGAAACTTTTTTTCCATTCAGAGAATAAATGCAAGCAGATTCCCATGGTAAACTAAAGCATGTTGTGGAACTACACTCAGTTTTCAGTCTGTGTTCCCAAGACATTTAGAATCCCACATTTTTAATTCCTCCATTGGTATCCTTTCCCTGCTGTAAGATGTGGATCATCACTACTGATTGCTACCAAAAACCAGATTGTCTGACTGCAGTGGTCAAAATGTTGACCAAAATCTGAAACTTCTTGTTACGCCATTGCCAAGATTTCTCAGAGAACTGAAGACAGCCAGCACTGCCAGGGAAAGCCTCCAGTAGTGGGTGTTGGGAGAAGCCAGTAATTTCAGGCAGCCTTGGGAATTGTGCAGCTTTCCCTTCTAAAGAAATGGTCCTGAAAATTGCTCATCCTGAGTGATGGCATTTTGTTGTGACACTTTGCCCAAATACCTGGGGAGGAGGAGAGACCCTGCCAGGCCACACTGGGGAGGAACAGCCAAAGCCAGCAGAGGTTCCTGCTTTGCTAAATCGGCCTCTCTTTCTTTCAAGTCTCCCAGATTGAAGAGCAAGTGTTTCAAAGGTCTCCAGCCCCCAATCCAGTATGAGGAAGTGCACACAAATCCAGATCAGGATTGCTGCCTGCTGCAGATCACCACCTTCAACTTCATCTTCGTGCCAATCGTCATGGGCATGACTTTCACCTTGGTAAGTGGGAGAAAGCTGCCAGGCTTTGCAGATGAGGTCCTGTAAGGACATGAAGAGGGCACCTGGAATCTCCTGTGTTGGAAGGGACCCACAGGGTCTCCTACTCCTGGCCCTGTGCAGAATGATGCCAAGAATCCCACCCAATGCCTATTTTGGGCTGTATAAATCTCCCAGCAAACCAGTTCTGGGAATCATATGGTTAATAAGAGAGGAAGTGCTCAGAATCTCAGTTTAACTTCTCCATTTCCATTGGCTCTTCCCTGTTGGGTGCAGTGAATAGAGAGGATGTAGAGAATCTGCAGGAGTTGTGGTTGTGCAGTGTCTGGCTGCGTATCAGTTACCAGAACTGCGGCAGGTACAGGAGGCAGGGAGCAATCCAAGTGGAGGTCTGCCCCTTACAGGAATATCTCTTTATGGCGGTAAATTCTGAGAAAAAAATCCCACATGAGCAAACTCTTTGTGTGTGTTTGGTCCCTGACTGGGAGTCAGGGTTTCAGAAGTGGCCAGTGCTCAGGAGAGGTTCGGTCTGGCCTGACCTAGGAGTTTGGCAGTGAGTTTCAGACTTCTCCTGACAGCCACTTGCTTCCAGGTTCACTTAGAATCAGTGTCATAAAAATTACTTAGATTGGAAAAGACCTTTAAGATTAAGTCCCCTGTGTTCACCCCTAACCCATGTCCCAAGTGCCACATCCAGAGGCCTTTTGAACACTGCAAGGGATGGTGATGCCACCACTGCCCAGGCAGTTCCAGTGCTCTCTTACAACCCTTCCAGCCTGATTATGTGGGGCTGCCAGCCAGACAGCTGGTTTGGATCCAGCGCTGTAGCCTTGAGAATGTGACTGTGAAACACCTTGTACAATTCAGAGGAATGGATAAAGTTTAGAAGTGTTGTGTTGAGAGTTCTCTTGGTCACAGTGACTTTCTGAAGCAGCTCTGGTCTCCTCTCTTGCAGTTCTCCATCTCGGTGAGCACGGACATGCGGCACCACCGCGTGCGCCTGGTGTTCCAGGACACGCCCCTGCGCAACGGGAAGAAGCCGCGCGTGGAGCAGGGGGTGCAGGTGGTACTGGACCCTGTGCACAGTGTCAGACTCCTGGATTGGTGGCACCCACAGTACCCCTTCTCCCCAAAGGCTTAGTGCTCTCCTGAGGCTGCAGGAGCCCACAGGGGACTGAATCTGGCAGGCTGAAGAGAATTTCTAGGAAACAGGAAATCCTATTTTTTATTTCTGAATAAATTCTGCAGTCTCCTTGCAAGTGGTTGAAGCTGCTGAGCTAGTTTGTATGTATATAACTTCTGGTCAGTAATGAACAGAGCTGAGTGTAAAGCAGAAACTATTTGTAAACACACTTTTATGTAAAATTGACATTTTATGATTTGAAAGGAGCTCCATGGAACTGTTCATTTAAATCCTTTTGGTGCTAATCAAAGTGGTCTTGTGTTCTCTTGTTCGGAAAGAAGTAGGAGGTTTTGCTTTCCAAGAACTTTCCTTTTTGCTTTCCAGGAACAATTAACAAACAAAATTCATGTTTGTTTTACTGCAGCAGGATTGTGCTTATGCACGGTTTGATATTTCAGTGTCTTGAGAAGCAGTGATCAAGACAGCAGTGATCAACAACAATCTTAATTCCCAGCCCAGCAGATCCCAGTTTAAGGAAAGAAAAAGGCATAAGTGATCAAACAAAGGAATTACTTGAAAGAGGAGCTGTAAGGCAAAAGTTGCACTTGAATGGAAAGGTACTCAAGTTCTCACACTGGTGTTCTTCTTTGGAAAGAAGATCTAAACTTTTAAAACCAGAAGGTGCTTTTCAGAGAACATAAACAGGGAGGGAGAGGAGGGGATAAACTAAAATAACTGAAGCAGTAATGAAGGACTCTGTGTCTTGCAGTGTGCAGTGTGGAAGTCTTTTCTTTTGAAAGCCCTCCAGCAACTACTAATCTGGCTTTTGACTAAATAAATTGATTTTCTGTGAGGAAGAAGCAACTGTGAAACTTCCTGTAGCTCTGGCCTGACTGAGAAGTGAGGGGTGCAGCAGGGGCTGGGCCTGTCAGGAGTGTGGTCTGACCAGAAGAAACCTGGCTGGAGGTTTAATTGAACACGTGGCTCCCTGGGAGGTGGAGGAGGTTACTGCAGGGCAGGGAGCAGATACAGACCCTGGACTGAGCTTTGTGCTTATCAGATACCAGCTCCTGAGTCCTACTGCACACCACATCTTGCTCCCAAAGCAAGAGGAACAGTACTTGTCCATGTAGAATGTTTAGAGAAGCTCCTGAAGGAGAGGGAGTTGTGCCATCTCTTTTTGGACCCAGTGGTCTTCGAGCTCTGGTAGGTCCCCTCCACCTCAGACTATCCAGTGATTCTGTGACCCCCACATGACTCCGGTGTAGCTGCCCAGAAGGAGTTTCTTGCCACTCTGTAAATCACCACTAAGGACATATTCCCCAACCTTGGATCTCTGGTTGGAGGCTCTTCATGTTGACTTCAACACGTTTTGGGACAGCTTCTGCCTTGCACTTCCCCTTTCCACCACTGCTGAACTTCTGTTGATCCCACAGGTAAGTTTTGAAGTTAAATTGGTTCATTAGAGATAGAGGGCAAGAAAATGTGCTGTCCCTTTGCTCCAGGGGCTGCCACGGCAGCAGAGCTGGGCTGTGTTGTGGTTGTGGTGCAGGAGATGGTGGGGCTGGAGCTGTTGTAAGGGCTGCAGGGCTCCATTTCCAAGAAGCTGCTCCAGGGCAGTGGGGGACAACAATCTTCCTTTTTCTGTGGGGTTAGACACCACTGAACTCGGGGACAGGTTTGTGAAGCTCAAGCAGTGAAATATGGTCAGGCTGCAATTTCTGGTTGTCCTGGAAGGAGGTGGCTGCTTCCTCAGAGCCTGGTTCTGGCTGTGCTTCAGGCTGTTTACTGCTACATTCCCTGAAAACTCCCTCATGATGATGCTACGGCAATGTGCCTGGATTGCTGTTTATGCAGAGTCTGGAGAGTGGGAGCAGAGGGTTTGGTTCCTGGCTCAGGCTGATGGCAGGAGCATGGAGCAGGCTGGTGTCTGTGTGAGGCTGTGCCCTTTCCTGTGGGGAGCTGCTCAGGCTGAGCGGGGCTGGGAATGGCAGCCCGGGCCCTGCTCTGGCTCTTGTGCAGAGCTATAAGACAGCTCCTAGGGCTGTGTGCTCCTGCCATATGGCAAAGCAGGAATACCTTCTGATCAGGCATATGGCAAACCTGGGGGCAAAGGTGCTTGGCAGTTCTCAGAATTCCCTGGCTGATCCCGTGTGGGGCAGCCACAGCAGGTGGCACAGGCTGTGACAGCAGGAGGCAGGTAGATGGGATATTTCCTTCTACCAACAGACTTGCTGGATTCAAATATGGATATTTAGATACCGATGCCCCTAAGCCAGAGGTGCCCCTCTCAGGCCAGGCTTTTTGTGGGCTGAAATGTATAAAATGTACAAGAACAATTCTCACTCTTTTCCTTTACAAAACTCACAGTGATCATGGTGCTGGAGCTGTGCTGATCAGCAGTACTGGCAGGGATTGGGAACCTGTTCTGATCCATGTTGGGAGGATGGGGAGTGGCAGGGATGCTGTGGAGGGGGATTCTGCCTCTGTGTAGAGCTGCACGTGCAGGTGTTCCCCTTGGTCCTTACCCAAAACATCAGACCCTGAACCCTGGGCTGAGGTTTGCTTAGTGAGGGAGTGACACCAAAGCTGAGCCCCAAGAAGCAATTTCCACCCTGGCCCCTGAGCCCAGCCTCTCTTGAAGCTTGATTGCCAAAAAAGTCCTCTTCAGTGTCCTCCAGGGTGGGATGCAGTGAGTGCACTGGTAGGAGTGGCTGTGGTTTGGTGTTACCCGTTTCTGTAGGACATGGCTCAGAGGGGCCCTCGGTGGTGTGGAAATGGAGCCCCAGATGAGCATCACGGTGGCTATCCCTGTGCTCTCCATGTTGTGTGAGGCCCCATTCTACCTCTGCTTTGTCCTACTCCTGAATAATGGAAGGGCTGTAAACAGATCCTGCCTGGCTCTCTGGTTTCCTAGGGGAGAAAGGAAGACTTGGCCACCACCCTCACCCTGCTCCTGTCCTTGTCAGGGATCTGGTGGCCAACAGGAGCTGAGCTGGGTAAGACAAGGCCTGTGGGCTTGGGGGAAGGGGGCTAGGCCCTGCTCTGGGTCCCCTTGTGCCTGTCTCATCCCAATCCCTCTGCTCTGGCCCCAAATGGGGGGACTGGTCCTCCCCAGCCCTCTGAGCTGGGTGTGCCTGTGCAGCCATGGGACCCTCTCAGAGCAGTCTTTGCACCTGGGGCTTCTCTTTCTTCTTCAGCCTATTCTAAAAGCAAGCAAAAATGTGCCTTTTAGCCTCATTTCAGCTACCTCCCTGTTTCCCCTGGTCAAATATTTCGGTGAGCAGAGCATGTTTGGTCGTGGGGCAGAGGGAGGTTTGAGAGCAGCCTTTGGTGCCAGGCTCTAGTTGGTTCCTAGGCACTGGGGCTATGCTGTGGTCCTCACAGGGGGGCAGGTGGAGGGATCCTTTTTCAGCACCCAAAAACCATTTGGGACTTGCTCCATAGCACAAAGGGAGGACTGGATGAACTGGTTCAGGCTGGGCTTGTGGCACTTGCCAGCTTTGAGGGCAAGAGGACCCAGGATGTTTTCCTGGGCACCAGGAGCTGTGTCTTAGCTAGATTCCTTTCCTGTTCCAGGCAGGCTTGTGGATGTACGTGGAGAGGGTCAAATCCTGCCCTAGCATCACACCCTGAAGCGGCCTGTGGGGACCAACAGGGAATTTGGTGGCTCTCCTGCTCTCCTTGGCAGTGCTGGCTGTTGCTATTGGCAGGGCTGCTGCACCCCGAGCACTGGGAACCCAGCTCTGTGCTGAGTGTCACAGCCCTCCCCCTCTTCCTTTCTGTGGGGGCAGGGAGGACCAGATTTCCTTCCTGTGCAGGGGTGGGGGTCAGGGACAGCTGTGGTGAGAAAAGCCCTCCCCCTCCTGCAGCTGCCACCAAGCCCCACAGTCCTTCCCACCCTGGGCCACTGAGCAGCTAAGCTCTGCTGGGCTGCACCATCCCAGCTGCCTTGGCCCTCCTGGAGTCCTCCAGCCCCTGCCCAGGTGGGAATCCCAGAGTGCCTTTGCTCCAGTGCAGGTGGGGTGTCCCCACTGAGCCCCTGGGACCCCACTGGGACAGACCCACTGCCATCCCACCACAGGAATGTAAGGATTTAAACCCAAACGATGTAGGAAGAGCAAAAGCCAGCAGATCCGGGAGCCGGGGAATGTGTCTTCCGCCTTCCCAGCACCATCACCTGCTTCCTGCTCTACCTTATCTCTCTCTCACAGAGGTGTTCCAAGCTCCACGTGCTTCCACGGGGAGCCGCTGGGGCTGGAAGGTGTCATGGGGGATTTGTAGAAGACGGAGCTTGGCAAGAGATGCAAAGGTCTCCCTGAAGGTAGGAGGGAGAGAAGGATGTGGGATCCACACTTCTGTGTGAATGAAGGGAAGGGAAGGGAAGGGAAGGGGAAGGAAGGGAAGGGAAGGGAAGGGAAGGGAAGGGAAGGGAAGGGAAGGAAGGAAGGGAAGGGAAGGAAGGGAAGGGAAGGGAAGGGAAGGGAAGGAAGGGAAGGGAAGGGAAGGGAAGGGAAGGGAAGGAAGGGAAGGGAAGGGAAGGGAAGGAAGGGAAGGGAGGGAAGGGAAGGGAAGGGAAGGGAAGGGAAGGGAAGGAAGGGAAGGGAAGGGAAGGGAAGGAAGGGAAGGGAAGGGAAGGGAAGGGGTGAAGTTGCCCCACCTCTCCGTTGGGCTGCTGCAGAAAGGAGCTGATCTGGTTTGGAGCTGGGGACAAGCAATGCCATTGATGAGTCACGGATGCTCCAGAGCCATGTTCCTGCTCTGGGGTGTGGAGGAGGGAAGCAGTGGGAGAAAAGAACTTGGAGGGTGGAGGAAGCTGGAACAAACGGGCCATGGAAGGGCCCTATGTGGCCCACATTGGTTCACTGGGATCAGAAGGGGCTTCATTCCCAGCCCAGCTGCAGTGCCCAATGCTCCAGTGAGGAGCTGGAGTGTGTGGGGAAGCTGTGGTGTCCTAGAGCTACATCTCAGGTGGGACCCAGGTTCTGCCCTGGCCCAGGGTGCCAGGTGTGCAGTTCTGCCTCTGCAGCCCCAGAGGTTTTTGCCACCTCAGCACAAGAGCTGGAAAATGAACGGGCAAAAAGATGTGCCAGCTCCATGTCACCAGCTCCGTTTCACCAGCTCCTGGCTCGGTGAAGTGTCAGGTTCGTGCCAGAGTTTGGGATGCTGGGGCTTGGCGCTGCCCGGGGGACTGGAGCTGCCTGCGAGGATGGAGTCGGTGGGATACAGCTGGTGCCATCCCGGGATGCCCATCCGTGAGGCTGTCGCAGTTCCCACGGTGGGCTGGGGCCCCCGGCGGGTCGCACGTGTGTGCCCGCCGACCTGGCCGGTTCTCCGAAGCTCCGGGACCGAGGCCGCCGGCGGACGCTCCTCCTCTGCGGGAGGCAGGCAGGGACTCGGGGTGGGGCTTTGTCGAGCGAGAATCCAGAGTCCGGCCAGCCTGGGGGAGTTGCCAGGGCCGAGCACCCCGGAGAGGCGAGGCTGCCGCCCACCCGTGAGTCTGTGCCCTCGCGGGTGCGTCCGGAGTGGGGCTGGCCAGGAGCCATCTGCTGCTGCCGTGGGAGCGGGTGCTGGGGACCCGGGGTGAGGGCAGGGGGCTGGGCTGGGGGTTCCCCAGCTGTCATCGGTGGGGACAGGATCGCTCTAAGTGTCCCTCCCTGTAGGGACCTCCCCCTGTGCTGTGGGACACCTGAGCTCACCGAAAGCTTTGGCTCCCGGAGCCGTGTGCTACTAAAACAGGGCATTTCCCCTCCTTTGTCCCTCTGGGACAACCCCTGGCGCAGAGACACTCACGTACAGCGGGGCCAGCCCAGGCCTGACTTCCAAGGGCCCAGGAGCCCTCATCCCCCACACCCCCGAACGGCCACAATTTGCCCGTGGGGGACGTTGTCCCCCACCCATTTCTGGTGCTGGGTTCCATCCCAGCCCTTTCCATCCCGGGGACCCTCAGGGCGGGGCACTGAGCTGTGCTGCAGGAGAGCTGGTGTTTACGCTGCTGGGTGACACAGCCTTTGTCCGTGCCTCAGTTTCCCCCAGCATGGACAGGCACTCTTGGCAGTGGGGAGAGAGCCCTGGCTGTTCCCTTCTCCTTGTGCAACCAGCCCTGCTCTCCCAGTGCCTGCGGAAGCAGCTGGAGCTGCCCGTTCACCGGGAGCTTCCTCGGAGCCTCGTGGGACTGAGGCTGGGAATGGACTGTTCCTCCCCCCTGCCCTGGACTGAGGCTGGGGAGGAGTTTGGCTCCAAGCAAGTGGCTCTCAGCTCCTCCTGGCCAATGTCCCCACAATGGGCTGGCTTTTGGAGACATCTCCAGTGGGGTGCTGGGCTGTGGGGAAGGTGCATGAGGTGCTTGGAACAGAGTGTGGGGACAGGGATACTCCCCGGAGGCACTTTGAGCTGGAGCAGGAGGATGCTGCACCCCAGTAGTGCCCACTACTTGGGCTGCTTTGTTCCTCCATGGAGACAGAAATCCAAAGCCCAGTTAGGGGGCTAATTATGGGACTGCACTCGTTACCTTCTGTTCTGTTACCTTCTGTGCCGGTGACCCCTGTTCCCCATGGGCTGCCTGCTCCTTGGGTGAAGCTGCTGCCTGTGAGAGCTAGGGGTGCTGAGCAGCATCTTGTTTTCCATACAGGATGGGCCGTTGGCAGCCAGACATTCCCCAGCAGCCAGAAAAATCTTTGGCCACCCGGAGTGGCCAAATGCCCAGCCTGGCATGTGGCCAGGCCTCGCCCTTCCCAGCTCACCCCATAGCCCTGGTTGTAGATCCTGGAGGTCGAGGCTTGGAAATCCCCGTCCAGGGTGGCATCAGGATGTGATGTCCTTGTGGCTCGGACAGATCCCTGATGCTGCTCCCCTCAGAGCTGGTGAGGTCCCCCGTGTCTCCAGAGCTGTACGGGATGGAGAGGCCACACTCTTCTGGAACCTAGACAGAGATTTTGAGCAGGGAGCTGGTTGTCTCTGCTGCGAGTCAGCCCTGCCCTGCCGGGGAGCGCGGCCCTCTGGCTCCAAGTGTTTATCTCCCAAGGGAGGAGCCGTGTCCCTGGGCGGGTCAGTGCTCCAAGGACGAAGTGCCTGCGGATCGGATGGGGGGCACCTGCTCGGCACCAGCCTCTTGGGGCTCTGACAACCCCTCCAAAGGACTCCTGGGCACAAAACGAGGGTTCTCCTTAAAATAAGCCAGCATGTGCTTCAGGGCAGCGGCCTCAGAGATGCTGTGCTCCTGTCTGTGGGGCCTGCGGGTGGGCTCAGAGCATCCCCTGCACCGCAGTGGTTGGGACAGGAAAGCATCTAGGGCTCCATCCTAGGAAGCCTAGCCTTGGTTTGGGAGGGCTTAGGAAGGCTTTTCCTTCAAAGCTGCTCTGAAGAAGCCAAGTCACTGTAAACACTTTGGATGGGGCTAAGGGTGTCTGCCCATCAGGCTGGGCACTTGCCCAGGCTTAGCTGCTTCTTTTCCAGGGCAGCACTGTCATATTTATATTGGAAAAAAACCCAGGCAAACACAGGAGCGTTTTTGCCTCCTGCCAGACCTCTGCTACAAGGTAACAATAATCTCAAGTTCACTGCAGCTTGCTTGAAGGTGACACTGTCCTCAGGGACGTTTTTCTTGTCCTACCAAGCAGGGGACGGGGCCTGGGACAGGGCAAGCTGGTACCTGCCCTGGAAGGAAAGGTGGGGAGCTGCTTCCTTCTCACAGTGCTTGGAAGAGCAGCCTGGGCCCATTTGAGCCCTGAAGTGTTTCCCCAGGGCTTGGTGACAAATCCTGGGTGTTGGTGACTGGTTGTGGGGTGTTTCCATGAGCTGAAAGTTTTTTCTGAGGCCCTGTCAACTGCATTTCTTCTGCTTCCAGCTCCGGGCTGCCTGCTTGGGGTGTCCCAGGGCAGCTGAGTTGTCTTGGGCTGGTTTGGGAGGATTTTGTACCTGGCTGATTCTGTCCTGGTCAGGTTGGGGTGTCCCTGTCCCTGCCAGCCCAAAGGGGACAATGCACAAGTGTCCCCTGATGCCCCAAGGCTGCCCACAGGTGTGCACCTGTGGGTGCTCGGGGCAGGGGGTCAGTCCCAGGGCTGTATCCAGCTGCTGTCCCCACTGTCCCATCCAGGGGTGGTGGCTTTCCCCAAGCTGTGCCCTGACATGTCCCCTCTCCCCAGGCCTCAGCCAGCAGGGGCCATGCGATGCTCCCTGAAACGCTCCCTCATGGTTCTACTTGCTGCCTCCTTCTTCCTCCTTCTCCTCTTCCTCCAGGGAGGCAGCCGGCAGGAACAAGATCCCCTGGAGGTGAGTCCCCAACCCAGTGACATCCCACGGGAGAGGCTACTGATGCATCCTCTATCCCTTACTGCCCCACATGAACCCCAACCTCAGCTCTACTCTCTTCCCTGCCCCATGTCACCCCCAGCAATTCACCTCCCCACCTTCTCCTCTCCCTAGGGTTGCCCTGGGCAGCTGGACCCCCCCCTGAATCCAGGAGTTGGGAGGGCAGGACAGGGGCTTCCCTTCGCTTCTGGGTCCCCCTGCTGTCATCCCCCCTTGCTGCATGGTGCTCAAGGATGTGACCTGTTGCCTGTGGCTCCCATGCAGGTACAGCTCAGGGGCCTGGCTCCCAACACAATCCTGCAGCTGCTGCAGCCGGAGGGAGCCAGCACATCCTCAGGGAACACAGCTGAAACTCTCTGCACTCCACAACATCTCCTACCGGCTCCTCGCTGGCTCCCTGGCTCCCCAAAAAAGTGAGTGGTCCTGTACCCTCTGGGTATGCACATCTGCACATCCCAACATGGACCTGCCCCCTGACTGCTGCTGGGGCAGAGCGGGGCTGTGTCCTGCCTTTTTGGCTGGGGACCTGCCCACAACCTCCACAGCCTTCATTGCTTGCTCTGGGGATGGAGGAATTGGGGAAGGTTCACATGCTCCACACAGTTTCTACACCTTGGGACTGGGGGTGACCACAGGTATTTTGGGCTTCCCCAGACTTCTCTTGAGGGGTTGCTGATATCCCATTTCCCTGGGATTGAGGTTCCAGTGGAGATGGTGAGCTGGACTACTGGGACAACCCCACAGTGTGGGAGAAGTGGGCCAAGCTCTTGGACAGGTGCACAAGAAGCAATTCCCGTGCAAACCCTGTGGGAAGGAAGTTGGGGCAACCCTGTCAGGCTGTGCTGGAACAGCACAGGAATGGTGCTGTCCCAACCATCATCAAGAGAAGCTGAATCAAGGCAGCCACTGCTGGGCCATGGGGAGGACACAAGGTGCCTGATCCCAGTGTGTGGGTGTATCTCCATGAGGTGTCGAGTGGGGAATGCTTCCAGGATGTGCACCCATACCAATAAGCCATTCCTGCCCTATAGACTCTCTCTGCACTGTTACTTGCCTGTGTTTGGCTTTTTAAGGTGTTTTTCAGGAATATTTCTTCAGTGGAGCCCCTGCCTCTTCAGCCTGCCTCTTGCTGCCATTTGGGCCAGTTTTGGGCCCCTCCTGAGATGCTGAAGGCTTCAGCTTCAGGAAGGGGCCACCAGCCTTAGACGTGTGGTTACAAACAGCACTGACCCTGCAGGCTGGCCATGGGAAGAAGTTTTTGGAGCCCTTTCATTACGTCTTGAAGGGAAGAACATCACTCTGATGATCCCAGGTCACCCCTTTGCCTGTTCACGCCTTTCCTTTGCCTTGCAGAATTCCTGGCAGTGGGAATGGCGTCTGTGCAGAGGCCGCGTGGTTTCTACCTCCTGGCCACGCTCCAGTCCCTCTTCAGCCAGTCCACGGAAGAGGAGCTGCAGGAGATGGTGGTGGTGGTGCACCTGGCTGACACCGATCCTGGCTGGAACGTACGCGTTGCTGCCACCATTGCCCAGAAGTTTGCTCGCCACATCCTCCTGGGCCGGCTTCTGCTCATCCACGCTCCCCCTGAGTTCTACCCCACCCTGGAAGGCCTGAAGAGGAACTTCAATGATGCAGAGGAGCGGGTGAGGTTTCGCTCCAAGCAGAACGTGGACTATGCCTTCCTGCTCGCTTTCGCCGCCAACCTCTCCTCCTACTACCTGATGATCGAGGACGACGTGTGGAGTTCCAAGTCCTTCCTGACGGCCATCCGCAGGGCACTGGCCTCCCAGGAGGGCTCCAACTGGGCCACCCTCGAATTCTCCAAGCTGGGCTACATCGGAAAGCTCTACCACTCCAGTGACCTTCCTCGCCTGGCTCACTTCCTCCTCCTCTTCTACCAGGAAATGCCCTGTGACTGGCTGCTGGTCCACTTCCGCCAGCTGCTCACCCAGAAAGATGTGATCCGCTTCAAGCCATCCCTCTTCCAGCACATGGGCCTCTACTCCTCCTTCCAGGGCACTGTCAACCGGCTGGAGGATGAGGATTTCCAGGCTGATGCCTTGGACCTCCCGGACAACCCGCCAGCATCCCTGTACACCAGCATGTCCATCTTTGAGAATTACGAGCCCCGCAAGGCCTACAGCTCAGCACAGGGGTACTTCTGGGGCAAAGACCCAGCAGCTGGCAGTACTTTTTCCATCGTGTTCCAGCAGCCAGCCCGAGTCAGCCGTGTCCGGGTGCGCACGGGCTCCGTGGAGCGCCCAGGCGATTTCCTGCACGCAGGGCTGCTGGAGCTGGGCCAGCGCCGGCACCGCAGCTGGGACTGCTCCTCCTACATCCCTGTGGGCTCCTTCAAGAAGGGGACCCTGGAGCAGCGGGGCCTGGAGAGGGTCCTGCCTGGGCCCGTGGAGTGCGTGAGGATCCGGGTGACCCAGGACCAGAGCGAGTGGCTCATCATCCAGAGCATTGACATCTGGACCACAGCAGGCACTTGAGCACAACATCTGTGGCAGGATGTCGAAGCAGCTGGATTTGGTTCTAAGAGGTCCTTTATTTTTCACACTGCCTTTTGGATAAGAAATTTAAATTATTGACTCTCACTGCCCCATGTCTGGAGAGATGGGAACCACTGCTGTGGGCTGTGGATGTGTCTAGGAGCAGGGCCCATCAGAATGTACCTGCTGGGGGATGCCTCCATGAGCCAGGGAGGGGGCACAGGAAGGGGAAGGGGCTTGGGAGTTCAAGGCTAAGCAGTAGAAAACCTTTCTTCCCGGGAAGGATGATGTACAGGACAAAACTGATCAGCTAATTAACAAACCAAATAATTAATCAGGCAGTGGTATTTTTTGGAGCCTCTCCACATTTTACCCGCTTTAAATTTTCTAACTTTTTCGAAAACTCGATTTCTAACACCATCTTTGATCCCATTTCCTAGCTGATGCTGAAGGGGTCAGAGGAAGGTGTGGGGATGCTGCTCACTAAACCCTTCCCCCTGCAGGCTCAGCAGGTTTGTGGCAGCAGCAAGCTCCCACTGGTGCCCGGCATTTCCCAGTGCCGATCGGGGACAACGGCCACCAGATGGACCCAGCCAGCCCGGCCCCGGGCAGCACCTCCCACCAGTGCTGCTTGTTCCCGCCCTCGGAGGGAAAAAACCAATTCTCGGGGACCTCTCTTCGTGTTTTTGCGGGGCTCACGGAGAGGGAAGGACAGGCAGGATGGTACTTCTAGAAAGAGGAGGAAGGCCCAGAATTGAGCACCAGGGAACAAAGATAAGCCAAGGAAAATGTGGCCTCGGTATAATGTGAGGTTCTGTGTCCTTTTTAGCCCAGTGAGGTGCTGAAGGGTAACTGGGGTACACACAGGATCCCAAAAACTGCTGTTTGGGTTTGTCTGGCAGGGTCAGCTTGGAGGGCTGGATGCTCCACTAGCAGCTGCAGACCCCAGCACACTGGGCAGTGACTGACACCTCTCCCAGTTAGGATTTTTAACAACAATTTCTCAGCTTCCTGCAAAGGAAGAATTCCAGTCTGCTCAGCATTCCCATGGGATAACCCAAGAAGTTGTCACTAACCTGTGCCAAGCAGGACTCTGGTCTGCCCATGTTCCAAGCCTGGCTCTCCTGGAGCAGGACAGTCACTGTCAGGAGGGAGCAGTGCTGCTCCTGCAGCGCCATAACCACAGCTCTGGTTTGAGGTGCATCTGCTGGGCACTGGGAGGCAGATGGAGAGCCCCAGACCTGGCATATGGGGTTTTTCCCCTGAAAAAAAGCCACTCAGGTAGTAGATCTTTGCATTTAATATGCAGATGTTACACCATAAACTCCAAATGTTCTCCAGTGGAATCAATACAGTGGCTGAACCACTGCAGCTTCCTCCACACAGCCCAAGTCCTGTCAGAGCTCTTGGAGTATTCTGAGTGGCACAAGTGTCCAAGTCCCAGGGCCCTGACAAGTGTTTCCAGTGCTGCAGGAGAGCCTTTGCCCCAGTTCTCTTGGATACAAATGCTATGGCCCACTGTGGGAGAACACTAAGGATCACCAGTGTGGGTACAAATCAAGAGGTTTCACCCCAGGAAGTTTTTATCTACTGGTAAAGCACAGAAAGATAGAAATGTAAATCAGCCTTTTACCTGTTGGACTCTTACTGATGTAGGTACTAAGTTTTGTGATATTCACATGCCCAGAAGCAAGCTGCAGTCTCAGTTATGCTGGTGTAAACCTGGACAGACTCCACAGGCATGGAAATCTCTCCATTTACATCAGGATAAGCAGAAGCAGCAGTGCACGCTGGCAGAAACCCCCTCCTCTTTGTTCCTGTGTGGCTCAGCACCACAATGCCCAAGGACCACCAGTGCATACTGGAGGAGGAGGTGGCTGCTGCATCCTGGAGAAACATCACATAATTTATCCCACATCAAAATTCTCCCACTATTTTTATCCCAGGAAGACTCAGCCAGCTCACAGCACTCTGTTTCCAGCCTCTATCCCTGCTGGGATGGGCTCATGGAGTCCAGTGTTTGGCCGAGCTCCACGTGGCAGCCATAGCCCAGGGGCGAGTGTGGCTGGGCGGGGGAAGGGCAGGGGACACGACCAGAGAAGCCTTTGGAGCTGCTGCTCCCTCTGAAGATGGTGAATCAGGGAGGGTTGGAGGTTCCATTCCAACAGCGGGGTGTCCTGCTGCAGCAGGGCCTAGCTCAGCATCTTGTGCCGGTCGAACACTGTCTTCCTCTGCTCCTGCACCTGCCTCTTCCAGCGCTGCTGTGCCCCCTCCACCCGCTCCAGCACTGTGTTGGCCCTTGCGCCAGCCAGGGTGGGTACTGTGGCCAGGGAGTGAGTGTCCTGCAAGGAAAGGAATGGGGCTGGAGACCAGGCAATGCCCAGCCAAGCATAGAGGGAGGCAGCTGACTTGGGGGGAAACTGCACCTGAAAGAGCAGTTCAAGGTTTGAGTTGTTCTGATGAAAAACCTCTTTTCAGAGCTCCTCAACACCAGCCCCCAAGTCCTTGCTCTTGGGGATCACCCACAGTCCAGATAAAAGTCCCCAGCAGAGGAACTGCACAAAGCATAGAGCTCTGCTGGAAACCCACTCTTGGAGTCTGCCAGGAGCCACACTGCCAAGGTGAACCACATCTCCCCACTAAAACCAGGCTGACAATGGAGATCCATCATGGCACAGGAACAAGGCCTATCCCAGAGGACTTAGTCCAGCATACTGGACTGCGATAAACCTCACTTAACACCAGGCATGTACCATGTGCACCCGGACCTGGATCTGAATTACTGCTGCAGAGCAGGGTGCAAACCCATGACTTTGGGATACAATTCATCTCCTCCTGCAGGACCTCCTTCTTCAGCAGAGGGAGGCAATGGATGGACTGTGGACACTGGAGCAACTGCTTCTCACATCAGAGTATGAAGGAATTGGGCCAAATAGTTTATACTCACAACAAAGTACAAATAGGATGGTCCAACCCATTGCTGCAACTGCATGAATTTTATGCAGCAAGAAATTTTTCCTCTCCTAAAACTGGTGTGTGACAAAGAGGGAGAGAGTGGTTCTTTCTTTGCTGCTGTGTCTTAATTATTTTGCTCATGGTTTGTATGCCAGCGTCCCACAAAAAGATGGAGTTTGAATGAAACTGTGCTCAAGGGAGAAGCACAAGAAACAACAGCCTGGATACAACCCAGGGCCCAGCCCCAGAGCAGGATCAAACAGCACCTCATAGGCCAATGTTGTAAGTGTCTAGAAGATGTTTTAGCCAACACTTAAGGTCATCCTTCCCTGGAAGCTCAGCACCACAAAACTCCACCTGGGACACTGCACAAACAGGATCCATTTGACTTTTTTTTTCCCTCTAGATGGATAAACCAAATTCTGGCCAGCTGCTACAAAGTCCCCTCTGCCTCTGAGGGCAGGGCTTGCCTTGGGGTCATTACACAGAACTCTGAATATTTCTTGTGCTTCTGCATGACATGCAGAGATTGAGTCTAAATGTTCACCTGCGTAAGTGCCCCCAAAGCAGCAGTGCTGGACCCTCACTGGATCAGAGGAGACAAGCAGGAGGTCACTGTTTCCCTGTCCCCCATTCTCCTGTCCCCCTGTCTGCACCCCCTGCCCCCTCACCTCGCTGTCCTCCTCATTGTGCAGGGGCTGGGTGTAGGGGTCTGGCTTGCGGATCAGGGGGTCCACGAGCACCAGGAACGCCATGTAGAGCAGCAGGGCCCCCACCACTGACAGGTAGATGATGATGATCACCTGCAGTTGAGGACAGCGCAGGGGGAAAGGATAAGCAGTGTAGATAAGAAGCACCACAGAGGTCAGGAAGGTCCTTTGCAGCTGCCTCTGATGTGTCATCTCGTTCTCATTTTTCTCACAAGAGTCTCTTGCTCTTGCCAGGAGGCCGAGGTTGTGCCATCACTGCACAAACTGTTCTGACGCTCCCACTGTGCCAGCTGAGGGCATGCTCTGCACATAAGGGACAACAAGATAGGGCCCTGGTCAGAGATGCTTGGCACTCTTGTCACACATCCCCAGCAAGAACACTGGGCTCCCACACAGCTCCTCACTACTAGGAATGCCCCTATCTCAGACACAGAATAACAGAAGTCACAGAATACCTGAATCCCTGCGTGGGGTTGGAGATGTCCAAGATCATGGAGTCCAACCTGCGACCAATCCCCACCTTATCACCCCACCCAGAGCACTCAGTGCCACATCCAGTTGTTCCTTGAACACCTCCAAGGACAGTGACTCCCTGGGCAGCCCCTTCCAGTATCCAACACCCTTTTTGTGAATAATTTCTTCCTAATGTCCAACCTAAACCTCCCCTGGTGCAGCTTAAGACCATGTCTTCTTGTTCTGTCACTAGCTGCCTGGGAGAAGAGGCCAACCCCCACCTGGCTACAGCCTTCTTTCAGAGAGTTGTAGAGAGTGAGCCCCTGGCACTGCCACCATGTACTCACTGTGACAGTTTTCCTTCCGAAAGAAAACTTTCTGGGCTCTTCTGCAGGAACCTACCAGTGTGGCACGGCACGGGGCAGGGCGCAGGCAGTGACTGCAGTCACCCTGGGCTGGTGTGGCACAGGGCACAGGAGGGGCCTGAGCTCAGGTACCTTGATGGTGGTGGTGCTGCGCTCCTCGTACTTGCACTCGCAGAGCAGGCAATAGGCCTCCACGTCATTCCCGGGCACTGGCATGGGCTCCACTACGTGCAGACAGTTGCTGCAGCACAAACAAACCACCATCAGCAGCAGCACAAGGTGAAACCAGTGCTCTGTGCAAGGACTCTGGGGTGACTTTGTCTGTGTCCCAGCTTTCCTGTCGGACTGGTAACACTGATCTGGTGTTAAGAGCTCCCCTCACAGCCCAGCTGGCCCAAAATTCCTGCGATAGATTGTCCCAGCACCTTTTGCAGGGATCCGGTCCAGGTGGAAAGGATTGGAGGTCACACACTACATCTGCCAAGAGCGGTGGGTAAATGTATCATCCCAGATTCCTCGATTTCTGCTTAAAAAAACACCCCTGGCCTGGGTTGAACATCACCCACCAAAGCTGCTCCCTCTGCAAACATACAGGCAGAGAATCCATTCCTCAGCATCAGCTGGGAACTCCAGAGTCTGGCTGTCATGGACCGACCCCTGAGGCTGCTTGCTCACACTCACTCACCAGTCCTTCTGGGACACATTCTTGTTGTAGATGTGCCCACTGATGTTGCGGTACGGGGGGCAGATGCACTTGCAGCGAATGTCCTCAGAGCTCTGCAGGACACAGGAGCCATGTGAGGGAGGGGACACAGCTCTGTCCCCTCACATCCCACTCTGCTGTGCCCCACACACGGCTCAGTGTCACCCACCTTGCTGGCCTGTGCTGCAGGACAGAGGACACAGCCCAGCAGCAACAGCAGCAGCACGGGGCTCGCACAGTTCCGGGAGCTCTGGGCAAACATCCTGGGAGCCTGAGGGAACAAAACTCACATCCAGGATAGAGCATCTCAGCTGAAAGCAGCCACAACGAGGTAGTCAAGAGATTTTTTTTTTGTGGACCACTTGGCTCTGTTTTGCCCAGAAGAAGAAATTTGTTCCTGAATCGCAGCTGATGCCAGCCAGAAACTCTTGAAACAAACACAAATCCCAAGAACGCTCTTGTCAGAAGAGCTCCCACCCTGTACAACCACACATCTAAATTACCCCAGCCCTGCAAAAGTATTGCTGATTTCCTTACAATTGAAGAAAACCTCCTGTTCGTTTCTTACTGCTCTGGAGCCCAGCTACAGATATTTTGGTGCTGACAGTTTTGCTCAGTAAAAGACACAGAACTAGGAGCAAGAGTGACCTAAAGCAGTACACTGGGGCCTCCCTGCTGCACTGTCAAGAATGGTAAATCATTCATCTTCTGACACTCAAAGTCTTGCTGCTGAAGGGAATAATGTATTTTCCTGTCATGACATACGGGGAAGGGATGGAATATTCCTAAGTATTCCAAACCAATTCCTAAACCTCCTTTATCTCAAGATACTGGTTCAGTAAATCCTGATTTTAAAATTACTTCAAGCTGGTAGCTTGGTGAATTCATTAACACCTTTTGCTACATATCACAGAATGGTTTGGGCTGGAAGGGACCTTATAGATTATCTCCTTCCAACCCCTGTATGTGTGGATAAAGTTGTTCAGGGACATGTGCTTCCATAAATCCATAAGAATATGAATTTATTCCCTGTGCCACAAAAGGCAAGTTTGCCTTGGTCAGGCTGGCATTCACCCTCAGAGAGAAAAGGTGGAGCAGGTGTTGGAGGACCTTGGGACAGCACAGAAGAGCTGTTTCAGCAGAGGAAGGGAATTAACACCTTCATTAATCAGCTCCCAGGTAATCCCACAGCTTCCTCCAGGTACCTGGACTCCATCACCTGACCCGATTCCATTGGGATTTAAATCACTGCAATATTCCTTCACCCTTTGCTTTATCTTATGTCAACACATTACATTCACATAATGGATTACAAACACCAAGTTCCTTTCTTCTTTATCAAAACAAAACACCAGCAACTTCTAACAAGCTGCCAGACCTCCAAAATGCATCCCAGTCCTATCACTGCATCCCATGATTTATTAAGGTTTTGCACCACAGCTTCAAAAATCTCCTCAAACAATGGTTCTTTCCAGGGAGACTCCCCTGTATATCAGTCATTTAGATCTTCATCACAGATCTGGGGAACAGGACTGATCTGAGCTGCCCAGTGCATGTCCCCCATTTTAAATGGGTGTGAACTTTTTGTCTGAATTTTTAACACAACAATGGGGCATGTACCTAGAATTCAGTTTTAGCCTCTCAGCTGAGTTCAGAATATCTGAACAACTCATATAACTTTTAAATAGGAGGGGAAAATACATGATCTATTATACCATAAAGAAGAATTTAAAACCTGGGCAGAGTTCACACACCATGAACTGCAGAACACCCTCAACCATACAAAGGATAATTAAGGCATATATATCTCCAAGTCTGACAACAAAGGGACACATGTAAACATGCCTTAGAGCTATTTTTTCCAGACCATCGGCCCAACCCACAGCAGCCATGTGGCTAAAAGCCGCTGCGTCTGGACCAAAACCCGCCAGCGCAGTAAGCACAGTAGAGAGTGCGTGGTTGAGGTGAAGTTCTCGGGAGCTGAGTGAGTGTGACAGCTCCGAGGATGGGCCCCCACCAAAGGCTGTGCAGGGCACGGCTGCACACAACCACCCCGTCTTCTCCCTGGGATTACCCAGTAATCGCCTCATATTTAACGCCCCCATCCCTGGAAGTGTCCAAGGCCAGGCTGCACGGGATTTGGAGCCGCCTGGTCTCGTGGAAGGAGGCCTTGCCCATAGCAGGAGTTGGGACTGGGTGAGCTTTATGGTCCCTTCCCACACAAACCAATCTGGGATGATTCTGTGAACATCACCTGAAGCGCTTCTGAGACTCCCCCCTTTCTTTCCCTTTGCGGATCTGTGCTCGAACCACCCCTGACACCGACCCGGCCCAGGGCAGGGCCGGACCCCTCAATTCCCGCCGAAGGCCCGGATGCCCCTGGACCTCCAGGGGCTTCCACCGCCCGGTTCCACCCGGCCTCCTGGGATGCCTCCGGCAGTGCAGGCCACCGCCGGCCCGTGAGCCCCGGGTCCCGGGTGCGGGGAGCGGAGCAGAGGCAGAGCCGATCCCCTCAGACCCGAGCCCCTCAGAGCCGGCCGTACCCACCCACGGCCGCTCCTTACCTGCCCCTCGCTCCAGCCCGAGCGCGGCCCCGCCCTGCAGGCCCCGGGCCCGCCCTCCCCGCCTGCCCATTCGGCCATGGAGCGTGACGCCCGTGACGGACAGCTCCGCTGGCCAATCGGAGCGCGGAGCCCGGCCGGCGCTGAGGGCGGCCCGCGGAGCTGAGGGCGGCTCGCGGAGGTGAGGGGATGCGCTGCCGGCGCCGGCGGAGCTGTGCCGGAGGGGCGCTGCCGCCGGCCGCTCCCGCCGGGCCGCTCCCGCCGGGCCGCTGCTGCAGGCCGCTCCCGCCCGGCCGCTCCCGCCGGCCGCTCCCGCCGGGCCGCTCCCGCCGGGCTTCCCGGGGCTGCGCCGCCTCGTCCTGCGGCTGAGATGCGGGATAGCCCCGCTCCTTCTCACCTCGCGTCCCCGTTCTCCCCTTACAGCCCTTCTCCCCTCACACCCAGCTCTCTCCTCACGGTCCCACTCCTCCCTAATGGCCCCTCTCTTCCCTCACAGACCCCATTCGCCCCTCACACCCCGCCCTCCCGTCATGGCCCTGCTCTCCCCTCACACCGACGGTGGTCGTGTGTCTATCAGAGGATAGTGGGGGCCGCAGTGGTGCCCTTGCTTCTGTTTTTGGCTGATTTATGGTTAGAGATTATACCAGTGATCCTTCAGTTTCAAAGGCTTCAGTCTTGCCATGAACCTCTTGTATTTGAGACTCGTGACTCATTTTAAAAGCCTGGTTCTTGTGCCAAGAGGAACATTGTGCCTATCCAAGGCATCAGGGTCTGATGTTTGCTCAGAGAACATTCCTCAGATGTGGTTCTTGTAGTACCTTGGGTTTGCCCCACTTTCTGTTCTGCAACCTTCAGGTGTGCAAATAACCCCAAGCCTTGCCTTTGCTCCGGTGGCAGCTCCCAGGAGGTTCCATTCAGAGCTGGAGGAATTGAGGGTGTCAGGAAAAGTCCACAAATGCCAGAAGTTTATGTCCGTAAAGAAGACAAAGGAGTCCTGTAACTTTACTTGAATAAAGGGAGAGAGTCCACCGGGGCACACACCTGCAGGATTTTCTCTCCCGAAGTTTTGGAGGGTACAGCCTCCTTTTATCCCAAACTCCCGTCCCCATATTACCTCTTCCTTTGCCCGTCAGCTGAGGTACTAGGAAGGTACAGCTTTCCCAAACCACCTAGCGCATATTGAACCTACTATTTTACCCCCAAAGTTCAAAAGTTCAGGCTTGTGCTGACACTTGTCTGTTTTAGAAGCCAAGCTGTCTGGGTGCTGCAACAAACCTGCTGCCCAAAGTTAGTAGAGACATTAAGACCCATTCCAAAGACTTTAAAATCTGTACCTTCACCCATCAAATTGTTTGTAAAGACATTTGCTTTCCTCTCAAGGGGCTTACTGGCTTCTCTAGCACTTTGCTGCTTTACCTGGTTCAGATTTACCTGGTCTGTGCTGCTGGATAAAATCAGGACCTAAATTTTTTCAGGTTAAAAAAATCCTTTGATGGAAAAAGAAGAGACCCAAACCTCTGGTTTAACTTCTAGAAATAGAATCACAAAATTAAATAGTTTGGAAAAGACCTCTGAGATCATTGAGTTCAACCTGTGCCTGACCCCCACCTTGTCATCCAGTCCAGAGCACTCAGTGCCATGTCCAGGCATTCTTTGGACACCTCCAGGAATGGGGACTCCACCATCTGGAGTCCCTGGGCAGTCCCTTCCAATGCCTGACACCCTTTCCATGGAGAATTTCCTCTGGATGTCCAACCCAAACCTTTCCTGGTACAACTTCATGCCATTTCCTCCTGTCCCGGCCCTGTTCCCTGGGAGCAGAGCCCAACCCCACCCCAGGTGTCCCCTCCTGTCAGGAGTTGTGCAGAGCCAGGAGGTCCTCCCAAGCCTCCTTTTCTCCAGGCTGAGCCCTTTCCCAGCTCCCTCAGCCCCTCCTGGTGCTCCAGTCCTTTCCTCAGCTCCATTCCCAGCTCCATTCCTGGCTCTGGACCCTCTCCAGCCCCTTGATGTCCTTCCTGAACCCACCTCCATGGACTCCTCATGGGAGGGTGTTTCCAGTCCTGTCAGAATTTGCTCCTTTGATGAAAATTAAAATGAAAATTATAAGGTAAGATACATTCAGCCATAAATAGGTGGTAGAGAGTAAATGTCTGTTTGGCAGATAGTTCTGTCTCTCTGATAGTTATAACTTTCTAGAAATGCATAAATAATTGAGACTGCTTGTTTTAGGGATTGTACAATGTATACGTTGCGGAGACTGCTAGGTTTTAAAATGTCTCTCACTGGTCCATGCCCCTGGCATAGGAATTACTGATGTTAAAATGCTTCCATAGAATCATAAAGTCATGGGGTGGTTTCTGTTGGGAGGGACCTCAAAGCTCATCCCATCCCACCCTCTGTCATGGGCAGGGGCATCTTCCACTGTCCCAGGTTGCTCCAAGCCCCATCCAACCTGGCCTTGGACACCTCCAGGGATCCAGGGGCAGCCAAAGTCTCTCTGGGTACCCTGTGCCAGTGCCTCACCACCCTCACATGGAAGAATTTTTTTCTAATGCTTCATCTAAACCTACTGTCTTTCAGTTTGAAGCCATTCACACTTGTCCTGTCATTGCATGTTCTTGTTCATAGTTTCATAAATAATATTCTAAAGTGTTTTCTCACTCCATTGCTGTAATGTTTAAAATCCTGGCCCTGCCATGGCTGCATTCTACCCCCACTCACTTGAGTCTGTATAGGAGTGGTCTAAGTAAACTGGACTGATCCAAGGAAACATTCCATGAGAATAATCCCAGGTATTAGATCCACAAAGGACTTCTAATTCCTTCCTTCTACTCCAGTGTTGCTGAGCGAAAGAAGCTCTTTGGTGCTAAACCACAGCTCTCCCTTCAAAGCAGAACCCTGGGCCTGCTCATGGGACGCTCAGTGTTGTGACACAGCTGATTTTTTTCAGGCTTAAAAGCCCACGGCCACAGGGATTTTCTGTGACTGACTTTCCTCTGGCTGTGAAGGAGGTGTTTTTATCTCTGACATGTCTGTTGTCACAGCAATCTGTTCTTCTGTGTCTTTTGCAGCCCAAAGGTTCATATCACTTCTTCTTGTGGGATTACAGAAGACACGTGGAGGAAGCAGCCCGGACTGGGGACAAGATACTGGAAATGCCTTTGGAAGAAGTAAAGGAATGGCCTAGGCAGCTGAGAGACCACATCTCAGGGATCAGATTTTTTGGGTGAGTGCCTCAAAAACAGACTGACCCAATACAGGATGAGTTTGAAAGTTGCATTTCAGTTCAAGTGCCTTTTCCAAGAGGCTGGTTTCAGAATTCTTGGATGGAAGAGTGAGCTGTATGTACACTCCTGCAGTCATGAGTGGGAGATCTCACACACACTTCCAGGAGAATGTTTCCTGTTTCCTTGCTGACTTTCCCCCTGGCAAAGCTGCCTTTTTGTCTGTCCCAGATAACTGGGATGCAGCAGACTCAGTTATCTCATGGATGTCATCCCTGTTGCCGTGTATAAAGCCCATCAGCAGTGGGAAAAGTGAGTTTGCCTGAAGGGAGCAGGATTTGCTGCTTTATTTCTTCCTACCTGTTGCTCAGTCTTGTCCTCATTCCCAAGTGCACTACTGCACACACCCAACAGATGTGGTCATGCTTCCTGAATTTCTGTGTGTGCTGAATGCAGGCCCCTTCAAAAATTTCTCCAGCAATGGGTTCTGAACCCTATACAGATCTTGCCCTGAATTCCCAGTAATTTGGGTTGATTTTAGCCACTGACACCACTCTGTAGGGATCTGTGACTCACAGAGGGTTTGGGAAGAGGCTTTGGAGACCTTTGGACTACCAGTGACACTGTGAGGCTTTTCATTCCTGATTTCTGCCTCCCACTTTGCTGGCAGCAGTAAGGTGAGAGGTGCCTCAGAGGAAGGAGATTTCCATGGGCAGTGCCCTCGGAATAGAGGCCAAACATAATTCATGTGACATGGAGGGAGAGGGAATGGGAGATAGGAGACAAACACAAATGTGTAAAAGAGGGGAAATGCATCAGGTGCAAATACCCTGCCCCGTTCCTGTCCCCTTACCCACGTAATTAGGCCTTGCTGGCACTCATGGTGTCAATCTGAAGGACAGGTGGCATTTTTGTTAACAAGAGCAGCATCTGAGGACACACAGGAACAGTTTGTCCTCGCTCTGTCTGGACACAGGTATTGGTGACAACACTGCCAAACTCCTTCCGGCCCAGCGCCGGGGTCACAGCAGCTGGCACATATTTAAAGGGCAGTTTATTTTAAATTGTGAACAGATACATTGACTTGTAAATATTCTAGAAATACATCCTGCCATTATAAAAAACATCCTATAATTCAGGGGGAAGAAATTTCATTCTTCACCTGCAACAAGATTATTTGTTCTTTCTATTGCCTATGAAATGAAATGCTTTGGGAATTGCAAGCTGACAAGAGAAGGCTCCAGGGTACCTGGGCATTGCACCAACCTTTGAGGCTCCCTTCCTTATGCAGCATGGGTGGTCAGACCAAACACTGGCAATTCTCCTTCTCTTTATGCTGTCAGCTCCCTTCCAGCTCCAAAGAAGTGGTTTGTGGTGCCATGCCTGAGTTTCCTCAGTCAATTGGCACCACAGCACTGGGAGGGGCTCTGTGAGGGTGGCTGAAGAGCTCATGAGGGTCACAAGAGCTGCTTGTGACAGTCAGTTCTTGAGGGCTTCTCTCACCCTGAAAGACCTGATGGTCTTAAAAAGCCTCATGGAGATTTGTGAGCACACATTAATGAACAAACAGCGTCAGTTCCAGGCAGGAGCAGCTGCTGTGTGCGTGGGAGCTGACAGAAGATGTGGCTGCCCAGCAGGCTGGTCTCTGATAACCTGTGAGATCCAGTGTCTGTGTGTGTCCTTGGGCCATGCATACACAGGCTTGGGTTGTGCAGGACCCTCTGCCCAGCATGACCTCCCAGGCATGGATGGGCAGAGAACAGGCATTAATATCCAGCCATGAAGGGTAACTCTGGACAATGGAGTTTGGAGCTGGTTCTCATGGTCACAGCTGTGTAGCCATGAAGGTGTGGTGGGGAGGATACTCACAGTTGGTGATGGGATGGCTGAGGGCTAGTGAAGGGGAGCCAACCCATACATGGCTGACCCAAAGGAGGGATTCCTGCTTCTGCACCTGTGTTGTGTTTAATAATTTCTACCCCTAAACAGGAGACCACTGCCAGTCACAAACCGTGTGCCAGGGAAGGCTCAGATTGGACATTAGGAAGGATTTCTTCACAGAAGGGGTGATTAGGTTGGAATGGGGTACCCAGGTAAGTGGTGGAGTCACCATGCCTGGAGGTGTTTCAGGAAAGCCTGGAGTGAGACTCAGTGCCATGGTCTGGTCAGCAAGGTGGGCGTTGGTCACAATGATCTTAGGGGTCTTTTCCAGCTTCAGTGATTGTGTAGTTCTGTGATTCTGTGAAACAGGATGGCTGAGGAACAGGGCCTCCTCTGCATTCAGCCAAGCCTTCTGCAGTGCTGAGACTAAATGGGAGAGTGGCTGCACCCCAGAGCAGTGCACTGGCCCACACTGCTTCCCCCTGCCTGATTTCACTGTGTTTTCCCAAGGAAACAGAGGGAAAAGGGAATCTCCTGTGGCCTGAGGTATTTTTCAAGAGCCGATGATCTTCTCTGGAGCCTGGGATCCTGTGTGGTGGTGCAGTCCTACTGTGAACCAAACAAGTGCTTCAGCCTCCTGGGAGGGAGCTGCCATGGGAAGGGCTAGGGAATTGTGCTCTGATGGAACTGAGGCAGGTGGAGACTTGGCAAAGCCAGACCCAAAATACTTTCATCTTCCAGGCCAGGGGTGTAGAGCACTGCCCACAGCAGGGGTGCTTCCAGCTCCTTGGGTGTAGAGATGTCTGTGATGCTCCAGATGCCACCCTCCCTGCTGTCCTCCCCCTGTCATGTGTGTGATGTGAGGGAAGAGGGGAAGGAATAGAATCAGGACGGCTGTGATGGATCCTATTTGTGAGGCTGAGTGGCTGCAACCTCTGAGGACTGCTCCATGCTGCACCCACTCCTGTTCCATGTGGGTGTCCTGAGAAGTCTGGCTCCTCCTTACTTGGCAGAGAATCACTGCCGTTGGCATCCTTTTCTGTAACACCTGATGCAGCCAAAAATATGTTTCTCCAAGACTTTTGATGGAATTGAATGAACAATTATGCCTAAGTGTATTTTTGGCATCAGGCCCTCTGGGGCTTGGTTTTGCCTTCTAAGGTTGTGCAGGAGGGCTGCAGTCACTCCAGTACACCTCATGCTATGACTGCTCCTTAAACCCGGCCAACCTGGATCTGTTGGGCTGGGCTGATGGTCAAGGACTCCTCCTGTTTCCCAGTGGGTGTCCTGGTTTAACCCAGCTGCCAAGTCAGCCCCACACTCACTCACTCCCTCCTTCACAGTGTGATGGGCAGAGTCAGAGGAGTGAAAGTGAGGCATCTTGTGGCCTGAGATAAATCAGTTAATAAGTAAAGCAAATACCATGCACACAAACAAAGTAAACCAAGAGATTCATTCACATGTCCCAACAGCAGGAACAATGTGGAGAAATTCTACATGTGAGACCAAGGAAGTCTTTGCTCATAGAGGTCACTGCCTTTGGGACAGTTTATAGACAAGATCCTATGGTTTGGAAGGGTTGCTCAGTGCAGTAATGGGCCGCATGTCTCAGCCTTCTTCCAATTTGTACAGTTGGGGTTTTGTTTCCCAAAAAATTCCCAAGTGGATACAGAATTCATAATCTTCTGACCTGCCATGCTGAGTTCTTGTTATACAGCTGCTCTGTTTCAGAAAGGATAAAAGAATTCCTGGAGAGACCAGTGGGCAGGAATAATTTTTCTGTTTGGTGGGACTGGGAGGGCACTGTGGTTATAGGATCCCACCTGTATTTGCTCCCTTGGAGCAGGATGCTCTCCAGAAACCTTAGTAGAGACTTGGAGAAGTGACTCAGCTGTGTTCGTAGGAAGTGATTTCAGTGCAAGTAAAGTACATGCTCATTTCCTCTGGTGCAGAAGAGAACACAAAATGTTACTAGGTGGTCAGGTTCCCTCAGTGCAACTAAATGTTGTGCTTTCTCAGCTCTGCCATCAGCCTTTAATCTGGGGGCCCCAGATGGGTCATCCCTGTGGATCCAGCAGTATGGGTGGGAGTTGCACCTCTCGCAGCAGGGCTGATCTCACGGAGGAGGTGAGCCAGGGAGCCTCCAGCTACAGTACCTGGTTGTCAGCCCAGAGAGGGCTGGCGGCTTTTGCAGCCCTTGGAGAAGGGACAGGGAATGAGTACAAGCCTTTCATTTCTGTATTGCTTGAATGAAATAAAATGTAAACCAGAAAAGCGAATACAGACATGCATGTGGGAAGCTTGCTGAAGGCTGCCTGTAATACACTGGTCATTTTTATCTCCACACCTTTTGTTGTCAGCTGTAGTGACAAACATATATTTATGTTCAATTAAAGTGATGTGCTACACTCATCTGACATCATCATCAGTCACCCAGCTGTGCTGAACTACCCCAAACTGTTGTGTTTCCAGCTGTGGGGCTCCTAGCCCCAAGGGGCTGTCTGTGGTGTGGGGTTTCCCTGGACATGATCTCTTCAGGTCAGACGTCTTCCCCAGAAGGCAGTGACACTTTTGTTAAAAATTATTCCCTCCTGTCTAAATTAATATTTTTGCTGCTAATTTGGGAAGTAATAAGATAGTGGTGTGGCAGGCAGTGCTCTCAGCACACGTGTAGGTTGTATTAAAAATAAACATTAAAATATAATTTCTTGGGTCCTTTAAAAATTATTTGGACCTTTGTCAAGAGAGGTCCATGCTTTTCCTCCCCCAGCATTCCCCCCTCCTTGGAATGCTGCTTCCCTCACGATTTTTTTATTAGCATTGCTTGCTGCCGTAGGTTTTATTTCTCATATCATATTTCACCTTCCCCTTCTCTGTGTCCCACTGCAGCCACTGACCAGGACAATCCCTGGCCAGGCTGGGCAGGGCAGGAGAGGATAATGTTGCTGACAGAAGACTTCAAGAGGCAATTAACAGCTTCTCCAGCATTCAGTCCCTGACTGGATAGAGGTTATTCCCAACTTGTCAAAGATCCTTCTCCTTGAAAGGGAAGACAAAGGAGGGCCTGGACATAGAACCTGCTCTAAATATCTGCTGTGTTGGCTTTCTCTTTGGGCAGGAT